CTTCTCGCAGACTGGGGCTGAGTTAATCTTTCCAAGTATTTGGCCTTTGCGAGGCCAAATACCTTTTTTTTTTTTTTTAAACCTGTGTTTTATAGGAAGCATTTGCTCTTGAATCCTAGTATTTTGGGACTTCAGAACAGTAAAGAATAAAGAGAAGACCTTTTCTTATGATGAATTTATTCTGTGGTAAATGCCGAGAGAAATGTCAAATAGTGAAGTGGTTGTATTTTTAAATCAAGTATTTGTTTAGCTGTTGAGTTTCAGGATAGTGATTTTGACTAGGGCTTCAGTAGCAGAACTAATTCTTCCTTCATTTTTCTTTCTTTAGTTGCAATGGAAAGTAATGGGAGTAATGCTAAGGATGCTAAGAACGCTTCAGATGAAGAGGACAGTGGAGACAGAGTTCAGCAGAAAACTCGGGAAGATATTCTCTTTCATGAGGAAACCATTGATCTTGGCGGAGACGAATTTGAGTCTGAAGGGAATGAAACCGTATCAGAAGACTCTAATAATTTTATAGATAAACTTAATGAACAAATGATGGAGAGTGTCATTATTTCAGATTCTCCAAACAACAGTGAAGATGACACTGGTGACCTTGGTTGTCTGCAGGAGATTGTAGAACAAATGGAAGCCAAAGACAACCAAAAAACACAAGCAGAAGTGGGTAAGGAAGAGTTTTTAAGTAATGAGAGTGAAACTGAACATGAAGAAACACCCAAAGACATTTCTGAGATTGGAACAGATGATCAGACATCTTTAAAGGAAGAATCAATTCAGGAAGCAGTGAAAGAGGAACTGAAATTGGTAAATAACATTCCTGTTGGAACAAGACCAAGTGATACTGATGAAAGCAAACCTAAGGACCAGCTATCATCACCCAGTACTGGCAAACCGACTCCTGAAGCTGAGCCTATCCCTGTGTGTACCATTTTCAGCCAAGCAAACAATGTTAATACTCAGCCACAGTTGTTCCTGCATGATGGTTTTGAGCCTCAGATGGTAAAATCTCCCAGTTTTAGTAGTATAACTGAGACTCCAGTGAAGTCTAATCCACAGGTAGTTCAACCAAGTCCTAGTCTAAGCAAGTTTTTTGGTGATACTGTTAACACTAATACTTTAGGTTCTGATTTTTTTGATTCATTTACCACATCCAGTTTTATTTCTGTCAGTAATCCCAATGCAAGCTCTTCAGTCCCAGAACAAATGTCCTCTATTTCTTCCACTGGAGACAGTTCTCATGCTTCGCCTGACCCTACTTTTTCTCTGGGAAATGGGAGAACTGAAGCAGGTGGTCCTCCAGAAATATCTCAATCCCCCAAGCCCTTCTCACAAATCCAGGCTGTTTTTGCTGGGAGTGACGACCCTTTTGCCACAGCCTTGAATATGAGTGAACTAGACAGAAGAAATGATGCTTGGCTCCCTAGTGAGGAAACTAGAAACGTTCTAATTTCAGTTGCCACACAACAATACAGCACTGTGTTCATAGACAAAGAGAATCTCACCATGCCCGGATTAAAATTTGATAATATCCAGGTAAGAGTCTGTGATTATATGTTAGTCTCTGAATATATTTTAGAAATATTGAATAAGAGCTTTCCAATAGTTGTTACATCATCTTAGTGCTTCATATTGTTGCCTAGGGGCACCTTGTTTGTATTACTCCAATCCTTATCAGAAAATTTAGTGTGACTGCCTACTCATACGTGAAAGGACTAAAATAAGATCTGATGTATTCGTAGTGAAATTCTTTGGGTACATTGAAGACCAGTGTTGACAGCTTACGTAGAATCCGAAGCTGGTTGCTATTTTTAAGTCTTTTCAGTTAGTTTCGGCCCGTTCTAGTTGGAAAGATTATGCTCAGATTTGGAATATAAACTAAATCAGAATGCTGTCCTGTGAAGTCTGAAGGCAGACAGCTTTGTTTGCTTGTGGAATTCACTGTTGCAACCAAGCTGGAAAGAACGTTTTTTACAGTGATGTTCACAGTGCTGTGGATAATGTTGACACTGACTGGAATTGCATCATTTATATCTTTCCTAAGCAGTGGAAAGGCGTAAGCTATAGGAAAGATGAGTGCTAGAGCCAGCTGCTGGGAAGGAGCGGCATTCCAATTAGATCTTGAAGGGAAGAGCATAGTAGTGGAAACCCATTTCCTTCTCTTGTACCAGAGTTCACAACTGATGAGAAAGCATAAGGCTTTTCTTCAGAGTTCGGAGAAGTTTTACTTAGATCTGTTAAACGCTTCTAGTGAAGGAATTATATATCCTGGCAGCTCAGCAAAGCCAAATGGAGTTTTTTCTTGAAATAGGCAAATCCTACTTTTCCATATCTACGTCTGAATAGTAGAGTTGTCATCTAGAGAGGTAGTGTTGAGGGTTCAGATATTTAAGCCTTAATAATAGCATAACAAAGATTATCAGTTGGTAGCAGAATAAGGGTTCTTGCAGAACGGTCTGCAAGAACTTCTCAATTTGCAGTAACTATCGGAAAAGTTCCTGGAGTGAAAGTAGTTCGGACTTGTACCTGAATTATTTAACAAATCTTAAGTTTCCTTTTTTGTGTCTGTCACTGAAGCAACAAATGAAAGATTTAGACATACACCATGCTGCTGCTGCTTCTTGGGTTAGCTTTATTTTAAAACGTTTGATTGTCATTGTAGAACCCAATCATTAGCGTGAAAGAAAATACTGTAGTAATATGCACCTCCTCCTCTACTTCATTCTACCTTCCCAAAAAATCACTTAGAGCTTGATGAGTAATTCAAGATTGTAATATTTCTCTCCTAACAGCTAATGAATGAAAAGAAAGAATATTTTCTTCCATGAGCCCAAAGGACAAGGTCCCTCTTATTGTGGCCCTCCATTTTTGCAATAGTTCTTTCTCGCTTTCTTCAGCTGAGTCAAGGCTTAAAAGGTTACTTGCACTGATCATCCCCTGAATCTAGGTCATATGCATATATGCAGATGTACCATTCAGTACATCATTGAAAAGAAGACATTTCAGCTGACCCGCTGTAAAATCAAGGAAGGACTCAAAGGGGATTCCTGCTACTTTCTTCATGGATTACTGTTTATAAACAGCTACATAGACATGTTGGCAGGGAGTCAAGTTTTGAAGGGCTTTATGTTTATACAACTTCCCTCACTTCCAGTTTCTGCTTTTCAGTGGTCTGAGCGCCCTCCTTGACTAACCTGACATCCTTTAGTTTGATATCGTTGTTCCAGGCACTGCTAGTACTGTGAATTGCATATTTAACTGAAATCATAACTGTAGAGTACCTGAGATGTCATCTGGAACATTGTGGAAGGCATGTTTTCATTGTTAAATCAGCATACAACAACGTTCAGTAAAGCTTTGGCCTGAACAGTTTTGTGATGCTAAATGTTAGTGCAAGATGTTAAACCATACAGCATACAGCTAACAAAGTTGTTAGTTGAAAAGCGCATTTAGAGTGACCTGTCAGTGCTTCAGGGAAGGACTGAAATGTCATGACCTATATTGAAAAGCTCAGCACTGTTTTTAGCTTCTCACTCAGAAAGTGTTTGTTCATGTTAGAAGTGTGCTGTTTTGAAGTTCAGTGGATAAATACGTGAAGCAATTTAAAAAGAAAAATATTCAATGTTCTCAGTTTTGACTGGGTGCTCCTTCATATTGATCATTTCAAGCAATGTTATTTTAAAACATTCAGGGATTGTGTATATTACAGGTTATCTGTACCTGAGTTTTTTTGGGTGTGGGAACTGGTCAGGAGTATTAATTTTTGTACTCTATTATGCCTATCTCCAGCAGTTGTTGTCCACTATCATGATACCCTTCATTTCATTACAGGCCTTCATAGGTAATGTTTCCTTCTCCAAGGAAGTAGCAAGGGAGTTAACATTTCTTTTGGATTTGTTTCGTTTTACGCTCTCTGATTTCAAAATCTTCAATCTTGTTTGTTCGTGAGATAAGTAACAGCATCAGAGGTAAAAACTTTCCAGGTAATAAAACAGTAGTTGCAGTCTCGTTCCTCATGAAACTAGACAGAAAACATAAATGTGTTTCCCTTCGCCACCTGTGGGAATGTACCAACATTTAATCTCAATTACATGGAAATCTTTATCATAGCTGAAATATTTTATACAGCTCTTCTTCCTTTTTTGGGGGGTGGGGGATGTCTTTGTGGCTTTTTTTCTGTTCTCTGTGCTAACAATTTACTATCTCAGCTCTTCACTGAACATTTTCAGGCTGCCTTAGATGGATTTTTGCAAACATTCCTTTGTATGCCTACTTTTTTTTTTTTTTTATGTAGTTGCTTTTTCCTTTCACCCCTTAAATACATACAGCATGCTGTTCTGGTTACCACATATCTGAAAGGTGTAATGGAATTTTAAAAAATTAGATTAGAGGAATGGTCAGGAGTAATAACATTTGTCCCTATGAGTGGGAGTGAAATAGGAGTATTTAGCGTACAAGAAAAGAGAATGGTCTAAAATTCATAAAAGAAAGAAGGTAAACAGAGAATTGTGATTTGCTATTTTTTATTGAGTAATAAGCAAAAAATAAAAGGAATTACTGTTTTGCAGTGCATACACTGTTTTTAAGTTGTAGAGCTCATTGCCCTCAGATACACCTTTGGTTAGAAAAACAGACCAAAAAATGAGCAAGACAGATATCATGGGAGATATGTCTATCAGTGAATATTTAAAAATGATAGGCAGATACGTTCCTCTGCTCAGGTGGACCCAAAATTTTTGCCTGCTGGAAGCTGAAAAAAGGCCAGTCTGAGCTTGCCCTCTTTCTTACACTGTTTCCATAAACAACATCTCCTACTTGCTGTCAGACAGGACAGCAAACCAGACAGACCCTTATTTTGACTGTGCATGGTTATTCTCATATATTACTCTCCATTTAAAAGCAAAGATGCGAGTATATTGTCAGTGCATTTTCTAATGAGCTTTCTTTCCCCAGATGTTTGCTGTCCTACATTCTGTATGTATAAAAATGTTGATATTTTCATTAGTTTTACAGAAACAATTTCTAATGCCTCTTATTGCCACTGGGTGACTTCTGACACACAGGGGATTCCCTTGCGTACAGTAATGCATACAGTCCATACAAGACAAGTAACTGCCAACCCTGTTCTAGGTGCCATTAGCAAGCATGATGACTGAAGAGTTTGCAGACAGTAGTAGTGGGGTTCTCAACATCTGTCTGTATATGGTCCACATTTTTTCAGCAGCTACTTGACATCAAACTTCAATTTCTTGATTACCTTTTGCAAATGTACAGAAGTAATTCATGGAGCCTCAAGGATCTCAAGCCACAGGCTGAACGTCACTGAAACAGATAATCGGAGAACAGCAGGTGAAATCAAGGCACCAAGAATGCTGTATGCAGAGTTACTCGATTTATTGCTAGCAAAGATGGAAATAGAACCTGGTTTTGGACAGTCTTCCTCTTTGAAGCTCCCTGTTGTAAAATGTAGAGTTTCTCTTGTCGAATTTGAGATGTCTACATTCTAAATGTCTATCTCTAGACTAGTCTATAAATGTCCTTTTATAGGAAGTTGAGAGAAAACAGGCTTCATTTTGTTTTAAGGTTAGTGTCTAAAATATGTAAAAATGAACATCTCTACTTTCCCCATACCCTTGCTGTTTTATATTACAAAAGTCACTCTGTCCCAAACAGTTTATTTTCTACCAGACATAAATTCTTCTGTCCATTATTTATGCTTATTTAAATCATTCTGTTCTAACTTCAGTTAACAAATATATATATATATATTTTTAAGTTAACTTGTCTAGTTAGTGGAAACTTTTTTATTTATTGGCCGAAAATAGCCACATTGCATTTTGAAATGACACCTGGATAGCTTTGTTTTAACGTCAAAGTTAGATTTTATTTAAGTAATGATTGTGGTTCAATTCACAGATCAGAAACTTCTAGCAAGTCTTTTAAATGTCACCCACTATCAATCAAAAGTTTGGAGAATTACATGTGCTAAACACTTCCATCTTTTTCAGAGTTTGAAGCATCACATTGCTCATATTATACAGTCTTCTTGCATGTCTTTTTTTTTTTTTTCTTTTCATGGAATAAAGTATATCCTACTTTTTGCCCAACCTCAGCCTAGGCAGAAGGATAAGGAAGGGGAAATGGAAAGGAAATGTGAAATGGAGCAGCCTCTCCTAAACATGTTGAAACATGGCTCATTTGAATCCTGTTCTGTGGTTTTGCACGTTTCATCGTATATTACTCTGTTTATAAAACTGAAAAACTCCATTTTGAAAAAGTTTTTGCTGTTCCCATCTTGCCTGACTTGAAAGCAGAATTGTTCCCTTGTTTCTGAACTATCCCAAAGATTATCCCAAAACCTCATACCCTAAGGTTAGAAGATTCTTTGTTTTGTTTTTCATTTGTAGGTTCAAGTTACTGAGCTTCTCAGATCAGCCAGTTTTTCTGATATATTCTTTCAGTTTATTCTTTTGTAATTAAGACTATTTGTTAAAAGGTTGCTGTCCACTTTTGCTTTTGATCTCAGAGTTTATTTTCTGTGTATACTTTAGGTCAGCAGATCATGTGCACTTACATCTTTGGTCAGTATATTGCACCTTTCAACATACTAATATTCTCTAGAAATACCCAGTAAAGCTTATTGTATTTTATAAGATCTTTGAAGAGTATTTTGTAAGATATTTGAAGGATAATAATACGAGAAGCAAAGAAGTCTGAATGTTTTGGTGCTAACTGAAACCTAAATGATAGAAAAAAGAATATAGCAAATAATAAGAAGCAAATATAGAAATATTCATGGAAATGCTGAAAATACATTTGTATCTATATTCATTTCACACAAAAAGCACTGGAAAACAAACATTTCTCAAGGGATAAAAAATATTTTGCTCAGCTTTAATTCAACAATTTGCTAGAATAATGTTAGAAAGTATCTTACGTTTCTTCTTTTTTTCTTCCATGAACACCAAGGGAGATGCAGTGAAAGATTTAATGCTTCGCTTCTTGGGGGAACAAGCTGCAGTGAAGAGACAAGTTTTAAATGCCAACTCTGTAGAACAGTCATTTGTAGGCTTGAAACAGCTAATTGTAAGTAAGAATGCACTTAATCTTCATAATTCAATATATATGAAATACCATGCTTCCTTCAAGATAATTGGGAGCTAATGGCTGTGAGAAGGAAATAAAAAATATATATCTGTCTATTCATGATTCTGTGTAAATAGTTTCAAAGTAGATTTTTAATAGCTTTTTTTGCTTGCTTATGTATTCATGTTTTACTGTAGTATTTTACTGAAGGTAAGACATATTGCCTCTTCTGCTAAGCAAAGCGATGTGATAAATTCAGCTGTTTTAATTTTTTTTAATTTCAGAGCAGGAAAACTAAACTTATTTTCATTTCTTTTTTCATTCCTTCACTTCAGAAAGATTAAATAAAATACATCAAAAATGAAAGCTTCATCTTCTGTTTCTTAAAACCATTTCCTAAATGTAAATATCTGTAACCTGCAAATAGTTGAATCTACTACCCATATGAACCTTCCTTGTTCTTTCAGCCACTGTTTCTATGTAAATCTTGTTATCCTTTGGTTTCTAAGCCTTACTTAGTCTTTTGAAATGCTTCTTTTATTTTTGAAAAAAATAGATGAAAAATTAATATGATAAAAAACACCTAAGTGTAAGTGATCACAGAATGGCCAAGGTTCGAAGGGACCTCGGAAGATCGTCTAGTCCAACCCCTCTGCTCAAGCAGAGCACAGAGCATATTTCCCAGGATCATGTCCAGACGGGCTTTGAATATCTCCAGGGAAGGAGACTCCACTACCCCTCTGGGCATCCTGCTCCAAGGCTCTGTCACCCTCACAGCGAAGAAGTTTTTCCTCATGTTCAGATGGAACTGCCTGTATTTATGCCTCTTGTCCTGTTGCTGGGCACCACTCAAAAGAGTCGGGCCCCATCCTCTTGACACCCTACCTTCAGATACTTGGCCATGTTGATGAGATCCCCTCTCAGTCTTCTCTTCTCCAGGCTCAACAGGCCCAGCTCTCGCAGCCTTTCTTCACAGGAGAGATGCTCCAGTCCCCTCATCCTCTTTGCAGCCCTCCGCTGGACTCTCTCCAGTAGCGCCATGTCTCTCTTGGACTGGGGAGCCCGGAATTGGACCCAGTACTCCAGGGGAGGCCTCCCCAGGGCTGAGGAGAGGGGCAGGATCACCCCCCTCCACCTGCTGGC